TATTTATATATGTATTATATATTATCAATATCTATATTTATATATATAAAGAAAAAATTATAAAATATGTATAGATATGTAAAAAATATGTACAGCATATTAATAATTAAAATTATATTTTCTATGCTATTTTAATTTAAATTAATAATATTATTTATTTATTAAAAAATGTGCTAACAATTCTTATATTTTACATTTCTAGATAAATTTTTGAAAATGTTTATAATGTTTTACTCTTTTGGTCTCTTAATTGTAAATAGATTTAGTGAATTATAAAAACGAGTATTTAATTTGATAATTATATTTTTTAATGTTGATTTTTTTTTATTTTTTATTTTTGTGTAATCACATATTTTTAACTTCATTGTATTTCTTAAAAAAATGTTCGTTTGATAAGCTTTCGTCAACAAAAATGCTATGCAATATGCTACAAAAGTTCAATTTATATCAATTTTTTTAACCAAAAAAAGCTTATTTTTTTCATAAATTTTAATTGTTGAACTTAAATTATAAATACATGAAATTTCATTTTTTTTTTTTAAGTTTGAGTGTGATATATATTTAAGTTTTCAAAAACTTGATGATGCACATTTCGATATTTATATTTATAGTAAATATATTTTTATATGAAATGAGTGTGTTGACTTAAATTATAAGTTCATTATTTAACATTTAAAATCGGACCCCCCTGAAAGAAATTCCTAGATCCGTCACTGTATATATATATATATATATATATATATATATTCCAAGCCTAGTTATTTTTGGATTGAAAATAAATTAAAATCCATCCAAGTCAAATGACAAAAAATGAAAATTTGTGATATAAGATTATGAAGTGTGCAAGTCTGCCACTTAGTCTCTAACGCTTGTGAAATTTATAAGGAAGATTATTAATTAAGAATTAAGTTTAAATGAATATAATGATGATAAATCAATATTAGATATAAACACAGAGTATCTAAGTATAGATGTTGGATACGTGCATGCTGTGGACTTCTCTCACTTTCATGCAGTTTATTTTATGCTCTATCCCTGATCCCTATTGGATCCCTTGAAGAATTTGCGTCGTCTTGCATGTAGTCACGCGGGTGACGTGTATAAATACCGGATCTTCTTCATTTTGCATGTTAACACAGTGAATATACAGAAATTTTGCCCCAGACTTTTCTTCTTCGATTAGTTCTTCAATTAGAATCTCATATTTCTTTTCCTTTTCAAGTTTGAAAGATATAATACTTGCATAACAATATTAAATTACTTTTTTATACCTTGCTTTTTTTTTTTTT